GCAGGCGGATCTCTGTGGGTTCGAGGCCAGCCTGGTCTACATAGTGAGTTCTAGGCCAGTTAGGGGTACTGGGAGACCCTGTCTCAAAAAAACAAAACAAACAAACAAAAACAAAAAATCACATCACAAGCTTTCAGGAGGAGGGAGCTGTTCACCAGTAACCATGGTAGAAATAGATTGTTGGCCCAGGAAAAGCCAAGTTCCATCGCACCTCACAACATCTGAAGAATTCCAGGTGAAAAGCCAGTTAACTGTAAAGAAGAAAGAAATTAGAAAATCTTGTAGATGAATTTTCTGCGGGGTTGACAGGGCTGGTTACAAACTCACTGTGTAGCTGAGGCTGGCTTTGAACTTCCAATCCTCCTGCCTCCACCTGGTGATTGCTGGGATGACACAGGCCACCCTTAGGTTGTGACAAGGATGACCCCTGTGGGTTAGGATTATGGAAAAATTATGTACATCTCACAAACCCAAACTATTGATTCAGACTCTTAATTTGGAATACAGTTTTGTTGAGACCCACCCCTACCCATCTTGATTTCATTCCTAAAATGAACCCAGCCTATCTCAACATTAGAAGAAACAAGATCCAGTCTGCTGACTTGAATTTTCAGTGTTACATTTGCAACCTGCTGTTTTCAAATAAGGTCTGGACGTTAAAAATGGAAACTTAAAGGCAAAAGGGGGGGAGGCGTGGCTCAGTGGCAGAGTGCCTACCTAGCGCTCTAGAGGCCCTGGGTTCAGTCCCGCAGCTCGGCCACAGAAATTTTTTTTAAAGAACCAGAATTGGTAGCATTTTAAAGTACAAATATTATTTATTTAAAAGTCCTTAAGTAAATTTTAAATTCAATGTTTGTCTCAGAAACCAACCATATTAAAAATTGGTAGGAAAAATCTGGAAAGCCCTGGTGAGTGTGTTTTAGGGGGAATTATGAGTTACTTTTGTGTGCCTCACAATGCGGAAAGCTGGGAAGTTGCAGCCTAGTGATAATACTGGGCAGGTGCATGAAAGCCTCCAAAGGGCTCTCAACTCAACCGGGAGGCTTCTCCACCCTCCAGGGTTGGGCTCCCCGAGAGATGTGTGGATTCTCTTTAGTCCAGTGGTTTCAGAGCCTTCTTGTTGGGCTGGGGATATGGCTCAGTGGCAAAGTGTTTACCTAGCATGCACAAGGCCCCGGGTTCAATCCCTAGCACCACCAAGAAAAAAATTATTGGAAATTTAATTTTTAACAAAAAATACAAAGGGGATGGCCAGATCGACTCCCAGAAATCCATCAGGCTAAGATAAAAACACATTTAAAAAACAAAACAAAACACATTTTTAAGGGTAAAATTTCATATAGTTTTCACCAGGTTCAAAGAAAAGTTAAGACAATATAATGAAAGTAAAGAGCTAATTCACCTTGTTGAATACTGAAGAGTCCATTCGCAGCGATTTATATTTTCATTTGCTTTTTTGTTTCTTGAGGCAGAGTCTCTGTAGCCCAGATAATCTCCTGCTTCTGCCCTCTGGTATGCCAGGCTTAGAGGTGTCTGGCTTAGCACTTAGCAATGATTTTTTTTTAATGTTTTATCTGCAGCAAAATAGGCAGATAATAAACAGAGCATCCAATTCACTTAGACAAAGAACAGCAAATCAAAAGGTCTCGGATCTGTGTGAAAGGGCAGGATTCCTGGGAAACTCTGGCCAAAGTGATTGCTTTTGTTTTGTATGTGTTCTGTACCTTGTCATTTCAAAGCACGCTTTTTGCTTTTGCTTGAAGGCTTTCTTGTTCACTAGGGGGAAGAAGTTCTTCTAAAGTTATGAATAGGAAGTCAGTGAATCCCTATTCACTTTAAAGGGCCAGATCCGCACCTCCAGCAGACGTTTTAGGTGAGTGACAACACAGCTTTTTATAAAAGGCCATTGAGAGGGCCTTAAGTACAAGCATAAGAGGAGAATCAAGGGCCCCACTCTTTCCGTTTCCACAGCGAGCCTCCCTCCTGCTTCTTCCCAAAGCTAATGCATGGAAGCCTGCTGGGAAGTGCCATTTTCTACCTGCTTGCTGGGAAACCCCCTTACAAGCCATAGCACATAGATGGGTATTGAGGGCCTACTGCTGAGCCACTGCCCAAGTACAGAAGGGCCCTGGCTAACAGGGGCATCTTTGCCCATCTACCCCTACCCTGCAGCATGCAGCCTGTGCCAGGTGGTATTGACTAGGATTGTGGCAGGGTCAAGTCTACAATTTGGGTGCCAAGCTCCTAAATAGTAACTTCTTGACTCTGCTGCACACAGTCGTGACAGGGCTGTGGCCACCAAATGCACACAGCAGAAGAGGCTGTGCTTTCCCCCAGAACAGGTAGCACTCGCCAGATGTCCTTAAGCCTAGGCAGCTCCCGGCTGGGTGGAGGGGACTCCCCTTCTTATGGAGACACGAAGGAGCTTTGGGGGGCAACTGAAGTCTGAGGGGAGACGTTTTGGGGCCGCACATCCTTGTATTGTCAGACGTGCTGTGACAAAACGCCTGACCGAAATGAGGTACAGGAGGAAGGATTTACTTCTGCCCGTGGTTATAGTGGAAACAGTCCATCATGGTGGGGGAGGTCTGCTGGTTGGAGCAGGTGGGTCACTGGAATCAGGAGCTTGCTGTGCATTCCAAAGGTTCAAGAGTAGGAAGGAGAGATCAGCCAGGGCCCGGCCTGCCGAGAACTCTCTCCCGGGTTCCGCACCATCTTTAAGGAAGTAGAGAGGGAGGAGGCGAAGGAAAACCGACCTCTACAGAGTGGAGCAGATTCATTAGAAATGAATCTCGGGGCTGGAGAGAGGGCTCAGTGGTTAAGAACACTGGTTCTTGCAGAGGACCTGAGTTTAATTCCCAGCACTCACATGGCAGCTAACAGCCATCCATAACTCCAGTTCCAGGAGATCTGATGCCCTCTTCTGACCTCCTCAAGCACTGACATGGGTACACATACACACGTGCAGGCAATACACCCTACACATAAAATAAAAATAATAATAATTAATAAAAGAGAATGAATCTGAGAGTGTACCTCCTTGTAGCTCAGGATTACCTCCCTTATAGACTCAGAGCTTTGACATTTCTCTCCCTTTGGGGAGAGGAAAGGAGTTTGGGGTTGAAGTTAGGTCATACCAGGAAGAGCAGGTGCAGGATGGGTGTCACCATGTCACCC